TCTCTCTCTCTCTCTCTCTCTCTCTCTCTCTCTCTCACACACACACACACACACACACACACACACACACACACACACACACACACACACTTGCACTTAACATGTCCCTTAAATCACGGACTAGCACACGGGTAGATCAAAAGACTCCAAGACAAGGTTGGTAAACGCCCAAGCCAAGAAAGCAGCGCTTTCACGTGCAGTGGCATATGAAGGAGAGGCAATGAAACACGGATCGAGAGGAAGAGAGAATGGGAGAAAGAGAGAAAGAGACAGAGAGGGAGGGAAGAACGATGTTCGCAGTCGTACCTTGTCTAAGATGGTGGCGCCATCGTTCGTGATGATGACCTCGCCGTTGGCCAGAGTGAGCATCTTGTCCATGCCACGTGGCCCGAGGCTGGTCCTCACCGCGTCGGCCACCGCCTTCGCCGCCCTCATATTCATTTGCCGCACATCATCTTTCCGTGAATTGTCCGACAGACTCTCCGCCTTGCTTCCAGAATTCAGCGATGGTGAGATCATCATTGGAGCCGGCATCTTCTCTTTCCTTCCTCCCTCCTACTTACTCCCTCCCCCCTCTCTCTCTCCTCCAAGCCAGCGACCGACCCAAACAATCAATCAATCGCTAGATCGATCAACCAATCGACCAAAAAATCAATCAATCAATCAATCAATCAATCAATCGACCAATGAACCGATCAATCAATCGACCGATCAATCTACTGATTTGTCGGATGGTCAGCGCCGTACATAAGCTTCAAGGAATCGACCCATTTACGGACCGCTACGCGGCAAGACAGGTAGAGAAGGACATCGGCAGATCGTCAGCACCACTAGTGCCTGAGGCGAGGCAGTAAGATCCGACACGGCGAAAAGCACACAAGTGCTGATGGAGGACGGGCAACGAGTAGACGGCACCGCACCGTGCGAACGCTGCCGCGGCGAAATTCTACGGCCGTGTTCCCCGGGGCCTCGTCCCACAAGCATTCGCATAGAGTAGGGGCATCGCCACACCACTCTCGAAATGTGCAAAATGAGAACGAACTTCCCCGCAGAACATGGCCAGATGCGCCCGCCACATTTTTGGCTTTTTCACATTTCGAGAATGGTGTGGCGAGGCCGTAGGTCCGGGACTACCTAGGTCCCACAAGCACGATTTTTTTAAGAAATCAACGGCCGAAATCTCCTGATTTGCGCAAGTGGGACCTTGTTCCCGGCCAGCGATCGACCGTCACGAAACGCACGTATGGGCTCGATCTAACGGACGGCGGACTGTCCCGCGCGAATGTCAGGGTTGGGTCCGAAACGAGCGTTTCTGATTGGTGCTCATGGGAAGGGCGGGAGCGGACGACAAAAGGGGCCGTGTATGGGCCTCCCTTTTTTTTCCTTTTTGTTTTTCTTACTTTACCTGAAGGTTACCTACGGTAACTGGTTCTGAAATTATGGACGGAGGGCGTGCGACAGGAACGCTACCACGGGCGCTTTTTCCGTTCGGCCCCCGTGTTACTGGTGGGTCCCAAGCGACCCTACGGTCAACCAAAGTGCTACCATCGAGAGAGCACCTCGATAATCCCGGAGTCTTTCCCGGACCACGGGGTAAAGCGGCTATGGTAGACACTGACGCAGCGAAGCCGGAATTCGCGTGGTAGAAGAAGCAGTAGAAGAGCGGCTTAGCGAAGTCGTGTTAGACTCAGAAGGAAGGACCACTAAATAGGAGTAGTAAGATGGAATACGGGGAAGAAGCAGGGAAAACGTGCGGTCACCGCCAAGATTATTGGGAGGACGAGGAACGGATCCGCTCATTGTTGGCACTCTGCTTCGACGATGGAGTCTAGACCCCACAAATCTCGATTTAGGGAAAATGACAATTCAAGGAAGAGAAGTTCGGTTTAAACAGAACACGTCGTTCGATGGGATAAAAGTTAAATGGTTGAAGGAGCGAACAATTTTGGTCATCTTCAAAAAGAATGCAAGATTCCTTCCAAAAAAGGTGAAAGACGATACTATCCGTGCGTTTGAAGATGGTTGGATCCTTGGAAGTGAGCGTTTTTTGTTAGAAACGAGAAGGGGAAGAGTCAAGATGGAAGGTCCAAACGCATTATCCTACGTTGCCAAAGCAAGAGAGGTCACGGTGTCGAACCAAATATTCTTACAAGGGTATTTGTTCGTGCTTTTGAAGGCGATACAATGTCGACACCGACTATTATGGCGGATAGGTTCATTAGTCGTTAAGATCGAGGTCGTGCGACCACTATATTCCTTGATTAATCAAAGTTTTTCGATGGTATGAAAAAATTAACTAATCAAAAATGTGGTTGTTGTACCTGTCAGTGGAAAGAAACCAATGGTTCATTCCGCCATAGACTCGAATCTGTGAAAGGGATTAGTATAGGGAGTGGTGCCACGACATAAGAACCTGGTTCGATTCTACTTTCAGACGAGGCTTGGGTTTGGTACGCTAACTGGGCTGAACCCTGTTCCTCTAGTTCTAATGGACTGCCCTTCATCTACCCAAACTTGGAGGTAGCCCAATAGGTTAGGCGCGGATTGACAGACCAAGGGTACAGGGATCAAGACCATCCTACCGCTGGGCGAGCATTTTTGGTAGGATTACTTACTACGGGGATACTATTTCACATCGCCATCGATTCGCAGAGGCTCGAACTCGCGACCAAAGAATCAGGGGTTAAGTTGGTAGTAGAAATTTGGGCCCCTCCCGTAACAACAGACATACAGTTGACTGCACAAAGCCCGTTAGAGTAGTTGCAGTTCGGATTTTATTTATTTATTTATATTTTTATGTAATTTTTTTATTTTCCTTTCTTTAGTTCATAGAAATTCGTTGTCTAGGTGTCCGCAAGATTAATAGGACGACCGCGATGAATACTTCCTAGATTATGAGGAGGGTTCAACGGTAGATGTAAGAACGATATCGCTCTCATGTGTCGTGAACAACGGGGACACTTAGAAAGAGAGAGTCCCCTCTCCTTCAATTGCGCAGCTCAACAAAGATTCAACATCCACAATTGTTTCTCACTTATTGATATCTAAGGGTCAAGCCCTTAGACCAGGATTCTGAGCTTTGGGATCGACATCCTAAAGTCTAATCCATATTTCTACGTTTGCAAACCTTCCCTAAACCGTTTGTTCCCCTCTCCTTTCTCTCAAGGTTTTTCATGTATGTGGCCGAAGTCGTTTCAATAAAAAATATATTTCTTCTACTCCTAGTCCTTTCACCTTCTCTCTCTAAGCACATCCTTTGGTGCTTGTGTAATAGAGATTGACAACTTTCGTCACTAACGGATACAAACTATGTGGTGACTCTTATTCTCCTAGTTTTTTTTCCCGCGGTCCTAACTTCTTTATTTGTTCTTCTTCTAAATACGTGAAGTTACGCTCCAACATGAGCATTGTCATTTATTTTCTCTTTTCTTTATCCTGACATCCGCAAGCAGTAGATCGATTCAGACATGAATCTTCAACTACTTGGTCAATTCTAAGCAACATGTAAATCAAGCAGGCACTCGAGTAAATCGCACACGAGTATTTGACCACCTTTTCAAATTACATTCAATGTCAGTGCAAATGATTAGTAAGAAATATCTCACAAGATCCGTTCCAAATACTCGGGTAGCTCGTACAAGAGTACATTTTTACCGACTTTAAACAAATAGTCGAGAGGTTCCTACTGAGGCTACCCATTACTTATTTTAGTCATCATTTAGAAAAATCTAGATTTTAACTCTCTCTCAGAGGTTAGTAACGATCTAAGTGAATAATAGGCGACCCACAGAAGAACCCCATACTATCACGTGACCAAATGTACAGTCCACTTTATGAGTGCAATAGAACGATCCTCACAAGAGTATCCTATTGCCCTTCCGAGACCAACCGAGTTGAGACCTGGTTAGTTTGGATGAAAGACTAGTGTTTGTGATATTACTACAAGAGCATCCCCCTTCGTAAGTTAGTGAAGAATCAAGCAAGTAATAGGACGACCCTAACAAGGAACTCCCTATTACTTTTTTGGGTAGTGAGTAGTCCAATCTTCTAAACAAGTAATAGGATAACCCTTATAAAAGTCTTCCTACTACCTGTTTGGTGACCGGACTATTTGAGCGTAAGTAATTTGATAGAGAAAGAGCAGCAGGGTGCCTTCCTACTATTCTTAGGTTATTAGCCTGTCATAGACTCAAATGTGTAAATAGGATGACCCTCACTGGAGGTCCCTACTACAACTTGAATAAATGAGAAGACTGAATCTTTTCAAGCCATTAAAAAGAGGGAAAATCAATACGAGAATCCCCCATCCCGTTGACTTAGTATTGGATAAACAGATTGTTAGTGGTATGAATTAATCCGAAATTTTCAACCGAATTGAAATATCCAGATAAAATCGATCTCTCGGATATGCGGATTTGTTACCTAGTCCAAAACCATCTCACTTATTTGTGTCATTACAGCGCATGTTCATCCAGAATGCAAGATCTCTTTGCATTGCTCACCCTCCCTCATCTTGCAAGATGAATACTCAAGCCGAACCGACACCCACTCAAACGCCTTGCTGCTATAGATACTCGTGAAAAAATGCATTCATCACAACAGTATTATAACCATTATAAGGCGGTGAGTGGTGTGTAACAATGCACTCACCCCGATTGTTTTTGATTTTGTAAGAATTTTTTTCCACAATTGTGTACTCCTAGAATATACGTCTGTCAGGAATACCTTATGACTTCGTACATTCACTGCTGAAAATTTATATCCCTTTGACATGTTGCAGATTATATGTGAGGTTAACAAATCACTACACAAATATCAAGACCAACCGTTGGGCGTCGGCTAAATTTACCCCGTATTGTAATTGTTAGAAATGATTTATCACGAACCCTCATTTGCACAAAGATGAAACCAAACTTAGGCTAAGTACTCACTCCTCCCACTTTTTATGTATTTTAAAATTCACATTATCAAAAGAGTGGGATGAGTGTCCACGGGCGTAATGACATTACTCAATTTGAAATGGGGTTGGGTTGACAATTGCAAAAAAAATGACATACTTACGACTGTCAAGCGCATCGGTCCCGCTGAGGGACCTTACCGGCCGCGTCACACAAAATTTTGCATGATTTTATCGCAAAGGACCGTTTGCCGCTCCAACTGAGTGCGTCATCCGTACCTTTCACGAACCTCCACAACAAGATAGAGGTCGCACGAGGAACAACTTACCCCTGCCCAAGGGGTTGTCACCACCCTTGGACAGGCGTATCCCCCCCCGAGCTACTGAACCACGTGAGAAAATTGCTAGAGTGCAATTGCAGAGGTGACCCAACCGATGACGTTTTGCATTTGTTGTAGCATTGAGGGTAAGTGCGATCGAACACCTTAATCAGACTCGCAAGAGAACCAATGATCCGGGGGTTGAATTCCAGAGCGAGACTCCTCGTCAATCGACTAGGATGATCAATCTAACCACGTGATACACTTCACAAAATAAAACCAAACCTCGAATGTAAATCTCGCTTAGTTTTTTTTTCCACATTTGACCCATAACCTATTGATGGCAAAATAAGCGAGTGTCACACGCGGCTCTGGATAAATGACACGACAACATGAACTTTTTTCACATCGAGTAGCCATGCATAAATATGCAAGTTGTCGCAAGAATGGCGTACTATGTGGTACCCATAACTACGTGGTTCTCGATGATTTTGAGGATCGCTTTCGACACTGAAGTGTTGGCTGACACGCGTGTTGAGAGGTCAATCTCTTGACATTAGACAATCGAGAATGTGATTGCAAAAACTACCCTCTTTTGCACCCTGTGCGGAAAAGTGCTAGGCGGGCTCAGCCCTTTGTGGCTGCCAAACACCTCAGACTTTGGAAACGAGGCTCCATCTTCAAAGGTTCTGAC